GGCCCTCAGGGTCCCTGGCTAGCCATCCTGAGTGGGGCCATCATGTAGGATTTTCATCCATGACACAGGGCCTCAACATCTCAGTGCTTTGCGGTCCCCAACAGTGGGTGGTGGGTGGTGGAGCATCAGATGGTATGCTTGTGGCTGGGCTGTACAGGCATGCTTGTTGTCTCCTGTTGGGTAGAAAAAAATGGGAAACACACACACACAAGAAAATAAAGCAGAATAAAAGTAAGCAAGTAACAATGAAAAAAAAAAATCAAGAAAAGCAGGCAATAACCAGAAAACAATAATATGACGACTGAAAAGAGGGCCTAGAAAATTGATTCATAGAAGAAAAACATGAGAGAAAATAAAAGGAAAAAATTGAAAAGAAAAAAAAACTTTAAAAACCGGGAGAGTAAATAGGAAAGAGAAAGTAGAGAAGTAGTAAAGAAAGATTAAAAGGGAAAATAAGAAGAAGAAAAGGGGAAGTGAAAAACAGAAGAGAAGAAGGGAAAACAAAAGCAAAGATAGGATAAAATTCAAGAGAATGGGAAGAGAAGAAATCTTAAACAAGCAAAAATAATAATACATGAAAAGGAAACAAACCAAAACAAAAGACTGGAGCAGCTATTGGATTCAGAAAGGAAAAAGCTCTAGGGTACTCCTGCCAACCAGGGAGCTCACAAGATGGGTGTGGGAGGGACATGACAGCAGAGTTCTTGGCCCTAGATGGAGTTCCTGTAGGCCTAAATGTTATCTATGTTCAGGGCACTCAATCTGGCAGTAGTTTGTAGAGGCCCTTGATGGAGCTGGTTTCAGTGTTTGTTAGGATCACAGGGCAGTTAGGGCAGGCTGGCTTGGTATGAGGGGTTTTGCTAAACTAATGCTGGTCTGGTGTCTCTGTGGGTCCTTTAGGTCTGGAACAGAGCTCATCTGAATTCAGCTACCAAAGCAGGGCAGCTGGCCCCCACTTCATGCTGGTGTGGTTCACAACCACATTGGCTTCAAACTCCCTGAGAGCAGGGTCTGTGCTGGGGGTAGATGAGGGTGGGAGTTGGCTACACCTCTGGTCACCAAGGGAGCATGAAGAAAAATAAGGACTCACACCTTTCCCATTTCTCATGTCAGCCTGCTCTCCCAGGCTACCTTCTGTTACCAAAGCTGTTCACAAAAGTTCAAGTTGGTAACACTGCATCTGGTCGGCTGCTCAGCAGTCAGTCTCCCTCTCTCTTGGTTCCTCCCTACTCAGCTTCTCCTCCCAACATGCACTGAATGCTCTTCTCTAACATTTCTTCTGAAATTCAGGGTTCTGTATGCTCTCTTCTCATTCTCTAAGAGGAGCTTGGTGTGGTGCTGTAGGATCAGCACTGACTGTGAGCTACAAGGTCAGCGGTTCAAACCCACCAGCTGCTCCTTAGAAACCCTGGAAAAGGTCATTATGAGTTGGAACCTACTCAATGGCACTTAACAACAACATAGCACTCTAAGTAGGAGTTCTGTTGTGATGCTGTAGGTATAAGCACTGAACTGCACTTAACAACATAGCACGCTAAAGGAGTTTGGTAGTGCAGTGGGTTAAGTGTTAGACAGCTAACCGCTAGGTCAGCAGCTGGAACCCATTAGCTGCTCTACAGGAGGAAAATGAGACTATCTGCTCCTATAAAGATTTACAGTCTTGGAAACCCTATGTAAATCACAGTGAGTTGGAATCAACTCAGTGGCAGTGGGTTTTATAGCACTGACAAATCAAAACTTCCTACCATTGAGTCAGTTCTGACTCATAAGCCTATACTGGAGGGAGTAGAACTGCTCTTTAGGGTTGCCGAGACTATAAATCTATATGGAAGCAGAAAGTCTCATCTTTTCTCCCAAGGAGTCGCTGGTGGGTTTGAACTGCTGACCTGTGGTTATCTGTCCAGGACTTATCCTACAGCACCAATTGTTGTTGTTGCTAAGTGCTGTTGAGTCGATTCCGACTCATAGCGACCCTGTATAGGGTTTCCGAGGCTGTAAATCTTTACAGGAACAGAAAGCCTCATCTTTCTCCCGCAGACAGCTGGTAGTTTCGAACTGCTGACGTTGAGGTTCACAGTCTGATTCGTAACCACTATGCTACCAGAACACCAGTAGGGCTCCATTTATAGCACTCTGTTGTTTTTAAGTGCCATTGAGTCGATTCCGACTCATGGCAGCCCTTGTTGTATAGGGTTCTCAAGGAATGGCTGATGGGTTTAAACTGCTAACCTTGTGGTTAGTAGGCCAGTGCTTATCCTCCAGTGTCGTGCCACTTTAAGTAGCTGTTTATAGCACTCATATGTACTTGTGTTAAAATTAATTCTCTTTTTCCTCCTCTGAGCGCAAAGCCCCATCAGAGTAGAGTCCATTTGGGATCCTCTGTCTGTTGACACATAGAGTCCTGGTGTAGTGCTGTGGGTTAATGTGCCAGACAGCAAAGCCATTTGAACTGCAAGGTTGGCGGTTCAAGCTCACCAGCTGCTCCTCGGAAACCCTATACAGAGTCACTATGGGTCAGAACTGGCTTGATGGCACTTAACAACAACAACATCTGCCGACACATAGGACTGAGCGAGTAAACTTTCCTCAAAGGAGGTCTGCTCGAAGGTTCCAGTGACTTAGATAGCATATCACCTCATACTTGTGAAGAACAGATGCTGGTCACTGGCAGATCTACCTAAGGATACAGTGACTTTCTATGGACTTAGTCAACTTAGCTTCTCAGTGATGTTGTGCCCTTCATGTAAATAAAACCCCACCTCCCATCCACCTGGTCCTTTTGTTTTTTTGGGTTTGGGGGGTTTTTTGCCAAGGAAACCACCAACCGTGTCTAAAGTCACTATTATTTCAGGTTCGAGAGCTTCAGACTCGACTCCAAAGCGTTCAGGCCACAGGTCCCTCCAGCCCTGGCCGTCTCACTTCTGCCAATCGCCCGATTAACCCCAGCACTGGAGAGCTGAGCACAAGCAGCAGCAGCAATGACATTCCCATCGCCAAGGTGAGTGCTTGTGGATGGGTAGGAACTCTTCCTGTTATCTGGCAGCACCAGCCTCCGCTGAGCACGGAGGCTGTGCAGGCATGTGATTAGTTCAGCTGGGCCCCAAGGGCTTCCCCAGGGTCTAGTGTAGGGCTCCTACACCAGAGCTGCAGGGAAAGATAACCCACTAATAGTTTTAAGTCTGTCTTGGCAGCAACCTGGACGCCAGCTCTCATTAATCAGCTGGCTGGAGAATGTCACAGCTGACAAGTCATTGTGCAAAGTGAGACGTTTTGTCAGACTCTACAATACTTCAGGGTAGATGGAGAGCTGCTATCAAGAACTAAGGTTCAGCCCGTGGGGAACCCCGAGTAATGAACCAGTGATTGTCTCACTCAAGAGATGGGCAGCAGTGTCATCAGAAAAATAGGTCCTGATGGGCAGGTTGTACTGGTGGTGAGAAACAGCACCACCCACACTCTTCTACAACCCCTAAACTCAGAGGTTAACTCTACCACAGACAGACTGCTAATCTGATGTGTGTCCTCTTGCCAGATAGTCTCACAGCAAGGTTGATTTTCAACTGTCAAATTCAGTAAGCTAGGCTAACCAGTGGTTCCCAACCAGGAACATTTTTCCCCCCAAGAGGCATTAGACAATGTTTGGAGACTTTTGTGGTTGTTGTTGCATATAACCATAGGCAGATTGCCATTAGTATCTAATAGGAAGAGACCAGGAATGCTGCCAAACATCTCTAGTACACAGAACAGCCTCCACAAACAATAATAGCTGGTTCAAAATATCAATAATATGGATGCTAAGAAACCTTGGGGTAAGCTGATGGTAGAAAAAGCAGACAAATGAGCTGTGTTTAAGAGAGTCATTCATTCATTTAGCTAGTATAGTTCAACATTCAGCCTATATAAATGCAGTCTGACCAAGTTTATCAGGGGAATGATATGTAGTGTTTTCATAAAAATTACTTGTTTTTCATTTTTAAGATCGCTGAGAGGGTGAAGCTATCAAAGACAAGGTCCGAATCCTCATCCTCTGATCGGCCAGTCCTGGGCTCGGAAATCAGTAGCATAGGGGTAAGTATTCATGAGAGGCAAGACCAGAAAGTACCTGGTACAGCTACAGAGACAGTGGTTTATGGATGATGGAAGAACTTCCAAAGTTAACCTCCAATAAACCAGTTGATGATAATAAGAAATCTTACTTGGTTCCCCTCCAAAGGATCAGATTAAAATATATAGTTGTTTCTACATGATAGATTACTTCTTCAGTCTTAAGAGAGATTTGTATTTTCTCTGTTGGAAACTTTTTAGAAAAATTATGTAGGTCTAGTTACTGGCGATGTGGATGAAAAACTTGATGTTTTTGTTTAATATCACCCTGCTACCCCAGAGACTGAGCATTAAATACTTAAAGAACTTTACCTTTTGCACACCCCTTTTGAAAGGGAAAATGCTTTCCAATGAGGATTAATGCTGCCTTTGAACTGTAGCCCCATATTATGAAAGACTAGAACCTTCTAGCTTAGGGCCAGAAGGTTCATTTGTAGAGTCTGTGAGCTCCTAGAGCTTTAAGAGATGGTGGATCAGGAATAAGGCTGGGAGAACCAGCTATTTGATCCTCAGGGCTGGAGAAAGTCTGAAGAGCATTTTTGAGGCCCTGGTTTAAAATTTTGTGCTGACCAAAAATTGCATACATGAGATTTCATGCAAAAGGCCAAACTGTGAGATAAAGGAGTCTACCCACTCTCACTTGGCTGAAGAAAGTAGAGATAATGGCCTGAAGTAGAGAAGGCAGAAGGCAGTTCAAATTTCCAAAGTTGGCCCCTGACACGTGACAGCCCCTTACCAAAAGAGTTCAGACCATGGGGATGTATAGAGTTTTCACTGGCTGATTTTCAGAAGTAGCTTGCTGGGTGTTCATAATCCGTTTTGCTCTGGAAGCTCTGCTGACATCTTTTGATCTTTGTAACAACATACAAGCCTCCATTGACAGGCCAGTTGTAGTCTAGGATAATACTCATTGCCCAGGAAGCAAGCCTGGGTCTTCCACATGGAAGGTGAAATTTTTACCCCCAACCCCCCACCAAAGCCCCCAGTTTAAAGTGAATTGTTGTTAAGTGCTGTTGATTCGGTTCTGACTCACAGAGACCCTGTAAAGAGTTTCCAAGGAGTATCTGGTGACTTTGAGCCACCAACCTTGCGGTTCAAACTGATTTCTGTCCAGGGCTTTCTGTCCATCCTATGGCGCCACACCAGAACTCCAGTAAACTGAATTACTGTTCAGCGTGCCAGTCAGCTGTGGTTTCTCAGGCTGCTCATGTTCATCTGACTGTCACACGTGGGGACGAGAATTCCATCACTGAACTATCACTGCCCATCCAGAGTTTTAGGGACTGTGAAGAAACAGGGTTCCCTCTATCCTGAAGCCAACAGCCCATGATTGAAGAGGGTACAGCTATATTTTGATCTTGTTTCATGTGCAGCTTTCCTAGTGCTTCACTTTTTACCCTCAAATTAAATGATACAAACTGAGAAAGATTGGGATAAATATCCCTTGGTGTCCGATTCTCAAACAGTATCAGTTTTAAATTGCCTTGCGTGCCAACCGTGCCTGGGGACCAGCAATCCTGGAGCAACGGGGAAATCATTGCTCACTCACACAGGTTTCCAGCAGCGTGGCAGAACATCTGGCTCACTCCCTTCAGGACTGCTCCAACATCCAGGAGATCTTCCAAACACTCTACTCACATGGATCTGCTATCTCAGAAAGCAAAATTAGAGAATTTGAGGTGGAAACGGAGCGGTTGAATAGGTAAGGAAACATCTTATGTATTTGGGTAGGTGGCTATATAGAGGTGAGAGGAGAATGATGGGGACTCTTCCCTGTTACTCTGTTTTGTCTTTTTCATAGTGGAGTTGAGAAGGCATTGGGCTTAGAGTTAAATTCCACCCATTTTAGCTTGGAGATGCCCTTTAACCTTTCTGAGTGTAAAGTGGAAACAATCATCCCTACATATACATTCTTGTGAGGATGAACTAATAAATAAGAAGCCTTTTATAAAGTGTGATGCATTTAGCAATAATAGGTTGTATCCTCAAATCCCCTGTTCCCTTTTCTTAGCTCATTGTGATAGTCTGGGTGCTCTTGTCCTTCATTTGTACATCCAGCAGGCATTTACTGAGCAACTACTAATGCCTGGCACTGTGGTTAGTGTTGGGAATCAGCGGTGGATTGGTCTTTGCTTCAAAACTCAGCCTGGTCATGACAGTGGTTCTTGGGAATTTTTAGTCATATGAGATCCTTCATTTTAAATACAGAAGAGGCATCATAGCAACACTTCACTTACAGTTACTGCACAGGTTTTGTTTCCTATCTTCTCAGTTTAGTAAAAGGGCTTACCAAGAGTGTCTGATTTTTACTATCCTTTCCTTTACCTTTTCCAAAGAGCCATTCAAGTTGAGTTGTGTATTATGACATGGAGGAATGCTGTCTTGCTGGTGGGGTTAGGAGTTTGCAGCCATCTTGATCGTTAATGGAATGCATGCAGCAGTCAGGGCTGACTTTGTAAGTGGGTGGCCTTGCCCTTAGGAGGACCCCACACAGGGTATACTGCTCTGCTGTCACCATTTTAAATTCTTAATAATTTATGAACAAGGGGCCCCACCTTCACACAGTCTTCACACAGCCTTCACACAGTCGTAAGAGCAGTCCATATGGAATGGTAAGTAAGTCAGAGACAGTCTGTACTGCAGAGACCCATGGAAAGAATTTCAGTGTTGAGTCAGAGTCCCAGCCTTGAGCTACCTGGAACCAGCAAAAGCAATTTGATCTAGATGTTTCTGGGATTGACCAGGCATGCATTTACAATAGCAAGCTGGTCTGACTCCTTCAGTTTTTCCAGATGGCTGCCTGATTTTATTTATACTTTTTGAAATTTACGTAATTGTCAGTCCCTCCTCTGAGCCTAACAGCTCTACAGAGAATAATTTTATCATGTACTTGCTTTGTGGATTTCTTCCCAAGTCTCATAATAGAGGTAGTTTGAGTTTGACATCCTGCCTCTTGCCAGAAACTGGCTGTGTGTCATCCTAGCAGTGAGGGAGCTTCTAAAACAGCAAAAGAGAAAGACTAGATCAAACCAGAGTAACTACTCTGACTCACAATTGCTTCCCCAAAGGCAGAATGGGCTGTTACATTGCACCACCGCATGGTGTCGCTACTTTGACCAACAAACCTTCAGTGGGAAAACTAACTAGGAAGAAATGTGGGCACCATTCCTTGTTCACCATTACTCAGTGCCATCCTCCTTGTGTATGGCAAACCGGGATAAATTGAGTTATCATGTTAGTCCTTCTGACGTGATACAGTTCTTGAGAAGTAAGGAAATGTGGCAATGTAGGTCATTTTAAATCTTGAAATTAAATGGTTTTCCTATTAAATCCAAAATACTTAGGAGTGACAGTCTTGATGATTGCTATGTAGCAGTAAAGAAGCAGCAGTCTCCTAAGTATCACTGGCCAGGGAGTGCTTAAAAATGGAATCAGATCTGCCGTTAGCAATTTAATAAAATCAGATGCCTCCAGGGGGCTCTCAGTTTAGTAAGGATCTCCTCTCTACAGATTCTGGGATTTAACAAGCCTGCTTTGTGGCTAGACTTGGGAATGTTCCTTTCTCCTCAATTATGTGCCCTCAGGAAAGACCACAGAAGGAGGAGTATTTAATGCTTGTAGTTCAAGTTATTACAGTATGTAGCAGTTGACAAAGAACCTTCACAGAAGTGTCATTTAATCCTCCAGTTTTGTTTTGTTTTATAAGTTTTTATTGTAAATTGAGGGATAGTTTACATGGGTTTTACATCAGTGTTACACTCATCATTTCATTGCAATGATCACAATCCCCTACATGCATCATCATTCAACAGTATTTTTTTCTATTCCCCCTGTTTTTTGGGGGGAGTGGTTTGGATGTATACACAAACACTCAGGAATATATAATCATTTAAACAATCAAATTCATCCTCCATTTTTAAGGGTAGGGCAGTTGATTTTGCAAACGAAAAAACAAGGACTACCATCTGTAGTGTGTATGTGTATATATTTACATATGCAAATTATTCTTGTTCACAGACAGAATTTGAATATTTTGTTAAAATTTTTATAAAAGCTCAAGATGAGAGAAAAATACCCATCCTGCCATAACCTTGGGCTTTTACAAATTTTCAAATTCTATGGGTAAGCATGTGTTATCAGAACTAAAATCAATAAATGGCAGCCAGAGCTGTCCACAAACAGAAGAGAGAGAGAAAAAAAAGTAGAGTGACTTGCCTTGGTTCCAGAGTTATGAAAAGCATGAGCCAGAATTCCAACCCCTGCCCTCTGATCACATGGCCGTTGTTCTCTCTGTGATTAGAGATGGTATTCCAACCTGTGAGTTCCTAGAAATTATCTACCTGAAATAATGTCCTGGTGTCTGTTATCTAGCCAGCTAACACAAAGTTGGAGACCTACTACTCTAAAAGATAACAGTAAATAATAATTGTGGTTTAACAATAAACCGTCATGATGTGTGCGGGGATGGAGGGTAGTAACACACTCATCATTCAGCACATTTATTTTAAGCACAAATACGTGTTGGGCTCTTTGGCGTATGAAGAAGAATAAAATAGGCAAAGTCTCTGCCCTCATGAAGCTTATATTCTGTGCGGGGAGATAGACAAAAAGCAAACAAATAGGATTATAAAGAAAACTCTAAGGAGGAAATAGTGCCCTGTGACAGAGGAACGGGAGGGTGGGATTTATTTTAGAAAGGTAATCAGGGAAGATGTCACTGAAGAGATCACATTTAAGTTGAGATTTTTAAGGATAAAAAGAAGCAGCCATAATATAAGCTAATAAGAGTCTTAGGGGCCAACTCCTCCATCTTTAGTCTGGAGAGAAGTCAGCATGAAGTAGGACTGCCAATGTGACTGAAATGGAGAGAATGAATGGTGTTCATGAGCAGGGTTGGCAGAATAGGCCGGGGCTGGGTTGCATTTGGTCTTTGAGGCCATGGACAGAGTTTGTTCTTTAATTGTAATTGGGAGCCATTAAAGAATTTTAAGTAAAGGAAAAACAAGATCTGATGTACATTTTGAAAGAATACTTGGGTATGATAAATAGATAAGGAGGGGTAAGCATAGAAGCAGAGAGGTTACTGGGAGGATTACTGAGCAAGAGCTCAATAAATAGTAATTATATATAATGGTGATGTTGGCTTTCATTTATCCCTGTGGAGAGTAACCTGTTGAAATGTAGCCAACATCACTCTCATGAGGTCAGCTGGTGTCTCCTCAGTCAGGTGTATCCCCAGAGCCTAGCACATAGCAAACACAGAGAGAGTATGTGGATGATGGAATGGGAAATGACCGGGGACTTATTTTCATTTCTAATGCATACAGAATCTCATGATTCTTTTATTTAGTGTCGCTGCTTTATGATTTTGTGTCAGTTACATTTGCTAAAGCTTCTGATAAGCCTCTATCCTAGCATGCATTCTGACTTGAATCTATCTTTAACCCAGCAATCTGTTGCCATCAAATTGATTCTAACTAATAGCAACTCTGTAGGACAGAGTAGAACTGATCCACAGGGCTTTTAAAAAAGGCTGTAAGTCTTTACAGAAGCAGATGGCCACGGTTTTTTCCCTTGGAATAGCTGGTTGGTTTGAACCATCGACCTTTAGGTTCCTAGCTGAGTACTTAACTACTATATTGCCAGGTCTCCTTATATATAGGTGGTGGTTGTATTGGTTGTTGAGTGCTGTTGAATCAATTCTGACTCTTAGTGACCCTTATAGGATTTCCTAGGAGTAACTGGTGGGTTTGGACCTCCAACTTTGCAGCCCAGTGCTTATCCTATAGCACCACACCAGGACTCCTGAATATAGGTTAGGTTAGACTACTGGAATAAATTATAATCCAAGGGTGAAATGTACAATTTATTATCTTCCTTTGTAGCCGGATTGAACACCTCAAATCCCAAAATGACCTTCTCACCATAACCCTGGAGGAATGCAAAAGCAATGCTGAACGGATGAGCATGCTGGTGGGAAAATACGAATCCAACGCCACAGCCCTGAGACTGGCCTTACAGTACAGGTAGGCAAGCAGTTGGGAACAGGGAAGTATCTGTTTAATTTAGAAATGCATTTATAATAATGTTCTGTATAAAAGTAGAAAACAGGCTGTTAGAAGACACAACTGGGAAGTTGGATCAGCAAATTATTACTATGATACATGTTGAAAACGATCTCATGCCTTTGTAACAATTAATAAAGTGAAGGTAATGAATATGGTATTAGTAAACAGGTCTGTTTTTACTAGCATATTCAACTTAATATTATCTAATTCAAGTAATAGGACTCAGTAACCCAATTTTGTTTTAGATATTAATTTATTGTTCTTTTAAGTCTTTATTCATATTTGTATATTTTTTATGTTGTTGAGACTCTGATACATTCTCTTTCTTCAATTCATTTTAGTTTTTAAAAATGTTGCTTAATTTGTTGTTAAGTGCTGTTGAGTTGATTCTGACTCATAGCAACCCTATATAGGATTTCCAAGAAGCAGCTAGTATTCAGTCGTCTCCATTTATTTTGAACAAGTGTATGCCCTGCATGAAATTTATGAATTTTTATTTTATTTAGTCATTTCTGTAAACGACATTCAGACTTTTAAAGATGTTTTGATATTGAAAACATTTGTATGGTGAATAAGATATATAATACCTTTTGAATGAATAAAATCCCTAGAGTGGAAGTTATAGGTCAAAGGATATAAATATTTTCATGGCTCTTTAAGCTCACCACCACAGTTTTCCCATAAAAACAAGCTATTTGAAATGGTTACAGTCCATTCATTGATGGGCTGGTGGTATATGAAAGTGCCACTCTTTTTTTCAACTTCATCAGCTTTGGAATTTCTCTACTTTTAAAGTGCTACTTGTTTAATAATAGCTATAGGACTATGCTTTATTATTATTTTCAAAGGCTGCTTTCAGTATCACCATTTTGGAATTTTTGCCAAGATCCCAGGGTAGTAACTCTGTCTTATTCTTAGCATCCTCTATAAAAACTCAGTATTATTTTAAGAAACATTATGTTTCTTCAAAAAACAAAATATAACTTGACCTACATCTATGGATTCAGTATCTCAAAAGAGGGAACAAATCTTTATAGCGAGGATCATTCCCACCCCCTCCATACACAGGGTAGACAGGGATGGGCATCTTGGACCGTGGCTGCCTAAAATGGGGGGAATGGGCTACAAAGGCAAGAAGTGACTGGCTTACAAGCCCTGTCAAGACAACCACATTGGTGGTTGTGGTGGTGGCATGCCTTGGAGTTGGTTCCGACTCAAGAGGGAGCCTAGATCCAGAGGGTGTGGAGGAAGGTAGAATCTCCTCTGAGTAGTATCCAGTCTGTCTGGGCAGGGCTCATGAAAGGAGATGTGGATAGAACTCATGTGGTACAATAGTGAATAATCGTTATCAGGACTGACTGTGAGAGTTGGAAATATAAAGATAGACGTTTTGTAGCAAAAGGAGGGGAGTGGTTGACTTTACAGTCCAGGAGTGGAGTTCCCTGGGACCATCAAGGGAGAAGAGTAGAGTGCAGGACCCTACTCAGAGAAACAGTAATGCCAGAGATGGAGATAGAGACGATGATGTGAAGAGATGGAG